CCCCCCGCATGTGAGTTGAAAGTTGAAGCAGTCCACAATGTCCGAGACACATAGCGAGATCCCAGATCAACGTTGGAGTGCGATGATGATACACCTGCCCCATGGTCAAGCTGCTTTCGCCGCTACCGTGCACGCGAACACGACTTTCAAGGCTAATGTTGCTGAGCGTGTTCACCACCAAGGACATGCACAGCGTGAAGCAAAGACTCGCATCTTGAAGAAACGCAAGATCAACCACGCATTTGTCGATGTCAACAAACCAAGATGTACCCACCAGTTTACTTAAGCCAAGTCAATGCCGAAGATTATGACTCCAAGATTATGCCCGAAGAACACAGGACAACACAGATGAAGACAGAAGGAGATAGCATAAGAGATGTGAATCAGAGAGTTTTTTTTACCCCCCCTACTGCGCAAGTCGACAGCGCTACCAGCCAGGAACCGGGTCCGCTGCTACGAAGGAAAAATGCAGTGCGAAGCTTCCCACAACGATCAAGTCTAGTTGCGTTGGGGATCATTCGCACGTAGCGTTTGAGGTGATCTGCGCATTCCATATCCTAGTTGGGCCCATTGCGTGATACGGTAGGGTGGGGTTCCCATTTCATGTTACTTTGATACTTAGGGTGATTGGTTAGCAGTCGTCCCCTGAGTGTATTTTTAGACTGAGTTGAGAGCTGAACCTTCCCGTGTTCAGCCTTAGTGTGTATTGGATTGCGTTGTTTTCCCTCTTTGGAGGGTGGTGCGCGTGAGAAAGGAGCTCGGAGTTAGCCGGTACTCTTGAGCGTATTCCTACGTCGATTGGTGAAAAGCCCCACACGTTCCAGGGCAGAGAATAAGGAAAGTTTTCGTGTTGTGTATAACTCTGTATTACATTGGCTAGCTGAGACTGTGTTTGTTTTGGTTCGGCGCCTAACCTCGTTCAAGCCATTGACAGTGCGTTCAAGAAGTGAACGTCACGCTCAAAACTTCCAAAGCCTATAAGATCCCAGCAACTCACATGTGACCTATCCAGGCTCACCGGAGGTAACGACACCGATAGGGATATCGCAAGGTGCCACGCCCCCACGATAATTGAACCAGTGAGAACCACGTTGAAGGCTCGCAGGGACGTGTTCAAAGAACCCCTCCCCAGTCTGAAGTCAGAAACGCCTCAGAACATACCTGGACTGCCACCTTACACCTGGATGAAAAAAGTTCACCGGCCTCGTCACACAGTACACGAATGAAAGTTGATAAAGGTCACGGATCTTGGAAGACGTAGGGGCTTGTAGGAAGCGGAGGGAGGAGTCACCACTCGGAGAAGAAGACCGGAGCGAAGACCACTTGAGGGGAAGAAGGAAGATTCTGAAGTGATTGATTTATCGGAGCTTACA